AATTCTTATCTACGTTGGGTTGTCATAGGCCAGAATAGAGCTGATTTATTGATTGATTGTCCTAGTCCATCTATGCAATCGACTTGCCTTTAAATGCCTTGCAACGCAACACTCTATAATAGAAATCCTAACAAAATAAAATAAAGGTAGTGAAATGTATATTCATGTTGAATATAGTGTCTAGGCTAACTAAACACAATTTGCCCTATGCTATCCATTCTCACTTCCAAGGTGTTGAATAATAAAATTAAAACACCCATTTAAAATTTAATACAGTTTATAAATTCTCCAGTGTTTTTCTATGGTAAAAATGCAATATCATTAATGCAAGTTTATAAATCACTCATTCAAAGCTGATTATCTCTGACAAACCTCTATTGTGCATCTGCTGGACAGTAAAGAGCAGCTCTCATCTCATCTAAAGCCAGTGATAATCTGGCAGTGATGTCACGGTCATGAACAATGATGGATTGATGTGTGTGTCTTATGTAACTAAGATTGGGAGTTCAGCTGAAGGTGTGAAGGGTGTCAGACGGAAATAGAGGAAAAGAGAGAAAGTTAAAAGACACATGACAATGATGATAAAACAGCCAATAATAGGACAAAACAATTGTGAAAATTAAAGCTCTGTCATCATTTACTCACCCTCACACAAACCTCTCTCTCTCATATATATATATATATATAGAACCCAATAGCTGGGTCAAAACATCCTAACAGCTGGGTCAAAAGAACCCAATAGCTGGGTTTGTCCCTTTTTAACCCAGCGCTGGGTTATATTTAACCCAGCATTTTTTAGAAATCAGAAATCACTTCCTCAGAAATCAGCTGACACATAACAGCTATCAATCACAACTGGCTGCTCACTTTCCAGTGCTGTAATCAGTGAACACACCATCCATCAGATGCACACAGGCGGAATGGATCACCCACAGAGTGAAGGACAGTTTGCTGGGCTCAATTATAAGGATGAGTTAGAGACTTTCAGGTCACTCACAACTCACAGGTTTTGTGTGATGTTTTGAATATTGACGTTATGAATTTTACTCATTTAAATCTGTCCGTAAATCAAGGTAACAGATTGCCAACCTGCTGTCGAGAACGATACTCGTTAAAGCAAACAAATCAGTAATTTTGCACCATACGCCACTGTTTTTCAGAAAGAGCACTTGTATGAATTCATAGATATATATTATAGTTGCATAACTAATACCAGCTCAAAATACCATAACAAACTATAAACCTAATAAATTATTTTAAGTTTTTAAAAGAAAGTTAAAATAATTATTAAAAAGTACAAAAGTATTGTGTAATAATTAAATAAAATTAAAATGATTATTTTAAATTTAAGACATAGCCTATATATAAAATATACACAATTATATATATATATGTATATATATATATCATTAAAAAAAATTAAATATTAGAAAACATATATAATAATTATTACAATAAATATATTGTCAGGATTATGGATCTGTTTTGTTATGTTTTGGCCGTTTCTGTTCCTGTGTTCCCTTATTTGGTCAGGGTCATGTTCCTGTCCTCGTTTAGTTAATTAGTCATTCTGTGCACCTGTGTTTGGTAATTGTCAGGTGTTTATAAGTTCTTGTCTGTGCATTTTTTTTCTGTCGGGTCTACTTGCTGTGAACGTCATCCTCGTGCTCCAGTGTATTGTGGCATATATGTATATACATACACATTTATAAACATTTTTTAAGTATAAATATAAACGATTGAAGGACAAAAAAAATCCTTATTTTTGAACATTAGATTGTGTCCAAAAGCTTCAAAACAGACTATTTTATAATCAGTTTTCTCTCTCTTTCTGTCCTTCTCAAATCAAATAGATTCTCTAGAGAAGGAACAGCAAATGTAATTGAACGTGTATCAGAGATTAAAAAGGCCATGACTGAGGAGCAGGCACATCAAATCAAATGAGCATCTGTTGTGCTGCAGTAGAGCTCTTGATTGAGCAGCACACAGACGGATGATGCCAGATAATCACAGGCTTCTGCATCTGCTGAGAAGAGTGCATCTGACCTGAGATTCACGAGCTTTACTGATCTAGAACAAACTTCATCTCACTTCACTCTAGATGACCCATGTGAGAGACCCATCAGCCGGATCCTAAGTAAATTGTCCAGTTTGGATGAATCTGCAGTGTGTGCTGCTCTGAAACCAGTTACCATCAACCAGATGAGGTCAACTGATCCAAGATCTGCTGCTGTGTGATGCAGGAGCTAGGATCACGAATCATTATCTTAATAGTTATAGTTAATTATTATAATAGTTCTTTTTTTTCAATTGAAGAGTACAAATCATCAAACCATTAAGGCAGTACAGTTATAAAAACAAAAAGTCTACACAGTTACAAATCCCTTAAGAAAATGAGCCATGGTTATAATATAGTAAAAGTGTAGTAACCATGGTTATTGCAGCAAAACCATGGTTAATTTGAGGTTACCATGGGGGTTTTTTTCATAAGGGATCTGTTGCTGGGTCAAAAATAAAAGTAATAAATGTACAGCTTAAGAGGACACATATAGAGATCGTTTTGAACGTTTTAGGATTAACAGAGCTTTGGCTAGAGTCCATATACTTGTCTAGATCAACTTTGAATAAAGAAAAGAGACGTTTAGAGACAGATTTTTTGTTTATGTATGTGAAATTTAGCTAGTAGGAAACACAAATTAAGTTATATATTGCTATATTCTCTTTTGAGCAATCAAACAATCCAAAGAAAACCCCTTTAGAACTCTTGCTGTGATATTGTTGGTTTTACACAATCAAAATTGTGTAATTATTGTCTGATGAATATGCTAACAACAAAAAAAGCTTATGATTATGTTAGCTACCATATCTATAAATAAAGACTTTAGACGACATGAAACTGTGGTCAAAAGTCTGTCATAAATGTGAAAATGTTGGATGGGGAAGGTGTTGTCGTCTGCGGTTATGTCCCCACCAGTGTCAAAATCAAACCTCATCCTGGTCCTCATGGATCCTCTTGCTCCTGATGTAGGAGGCCCTCTAGTGGCGCGATGTACCTTAAAGGGTTAGTTCACCCAAAAATGAAAAATCTGTCATTAATTACTCACCCTCCTGTTGTTCCAAACCCGTAAGACCTTCGTTCATCTTCGGAACACAATTTAAGATATTTCATATATAAATATGAGGGCTCTCTGACCCTCCCATAGACAGCAAGGTAACTACCACATACAAGGTCCAGAAAAGTACCAAGATGATCGACAACTAGCTACGAGAATACTTTTTTGCGCAAAGAAACGGCGTGAGCCGACGCGAGCGTGTGGCGGCGCTGACCCAGATCCGGCGTAACGACGTCATCATGACGGATCTGGGTCAGCGCCGGCGCCACCACACGCTCGTGTCATGGTACTGTCGGGAACGCACGTCCAAAGTGATGCCGTAGAGATGAAAATGTGGAATAAAGTTGTTATTTTTGTTTGTCCGAAGATGAACGAAGGTCTTCCGGGTTTGGAACAACACAAGGGTGAGTAATTAATGACAGAATTATTTTTTGTGTGTGAACCCTTTAAAAAACACAACAACAACAACACGAGGGTGAGTAATTAATGACAGAATAATTTTTTGTGTGTGAACCCTTTAAAAAACACAACAACAACAACACTTGAAAGTCTAGAGCAAAAAAGGCAATGACAGAAAATGGCATTTTCTGAGATCGGGGTGTGGTTACATCCACTTCAGCAGAGATTTTATAAGGATATATTAGCAGACAAAGGCTACAGTATGTGCAGAATAGCATACTAACATCCAACCCTTACTATTTCTGCAGTATAGCATGCACACTGTACTATACATACAAGTCAAGTCATGTGAAAACAATGTATCTTACTTCTGCATGAAACATAATATTACAAGAGTAAGTACGTACTGTTTCACATTCTCGGTTGAATAAAAGCAGTCAATGCTCAAAATATGTTTCTGGTATAAACCAAGAAATCAAGGCCGTTTTCACAGCGCTGAAACCAAACCAAGAAGCAAAACATAAAGTGCTAGATATTTTATTAGCATATTCAATAATTACTGTCCCCATAGAAAAGAAACCACTGGTGTCTGTGTGACGTGCATGCGTGTGTAAACATATTTAAAGAAAAGAAATACAATCCGGGAGCAAACGCAAAAAGCAAAAATTACACTACTGTTCCCAAATCACAAGCACAAATTTCCTCTCTCACAAGAATTAATGCCACTAATTATTCTCAGTGCTCAAAAAATGAACATCACTTTATCAAACACATAAACATACCAAGAAATAATTCTCTGTGGGACGCAGACTTTCTGCTTCTTTGCGCCTCCCTAAATGAATTCATGAATGAGTATTAGTTACTGTATAAACAAACACTTTCAAATAATGATACACAAATATACGTAATTAGAAATATATAAATGGAAACCGGTCCAGGCAGATGTACCCCTGAGAGAAAACCATGATCATGCAGAAAAAAAATCTAAACAATGAATAATAATAATACTAAACAAATCATACAATCACTTACAAGGACAAAAATAAATAATACAGTGCACAAAAGCTCATTGTGATATTGAATCTCTTGTTGCAAAGCTGTAATATATTCATAATTATACAATGCAAGTGCTGTTTAAGACATGATATTGGCATCAGGTTATGCAACATCATAAGTGTGTAAATACCTTTTATATAATATCTTTTAATGAGGACATTGTGTATGGAAGCTTATTTCTGCCACGGAATAAAAAAATAAAGCTAATCGCGACTTTCTCACAATTCTAACGCTTTTTCTTACAATTACAAGTTTATGTTTTGCAACTTGCAATTCTGAGTTTACATTTTGCAAAAAAAAAAGAAAAAGAAAAAAAAGTTAGAACTCTGAGATAAAAAGTAGCAATTAAATTTTTTTTTGTTTCCGCCAAGTAATAATAATAAAAAAAAAAAAAAAGATTGTGACTTTATCCAATAATTCAGACTTTTTCCGTAGATTCCTGACTACATTTCACAAGTTTAATTGGGAGTTTACATTTTGCAAGAAAAAAGTCAGAATTGTGAGATAAAAATGTCACATTTACTTTTTTTTTTTATTCCATGGTGAAAACGAGGTTGACTTTTTCTCTCTCCGAATTCTGACTTTACATCACACAATTCAGTTTTCTGTTATAATAGTTTTTTCTTACAGCTAACTAACTACATCTTGCAATTGTGCACTTGCAAAAGTCCGAATTTTGAGATAAAAACTCACAATTACCTTTTCAGTTTTTAAATTCTGTGGTTGAAATAAGCTTTAATAATTTTGATATTTAGAACATACATGACCTTGATAGACTCGATGGCACACGTGTACGCAAACATCTGCCCCAGTAAAGTCTGTGTTTGAGCGTGAGAGTCTTGTGAAAAGGTTGTGTCTGGGCAGTGAAGGCTGCGACGGATGTGCAGTTCCACAACATTTTCTACAGTCTCCAGAGTTTCTGTATCCATCTTAAAGCACATTTATGTTGGAGTGAGACCGTAGCGGCTGGCACTAGTTCCCAAATCTCGAGTGTCATAAACCTGTGCGCGCAGATGCGTTGAACTCTTTGGTTTTTAAGAGCAGTCTCTGCACAAAGTTGTGCAATGTATGCATTTGTGCCCACAAGTCATAGGGTTTGTTTATATTGTGTGGCTGAAATAAATATTCACCCTCTTGGCAATGCAAATCTGTATGACTTTCTTTCTGCTTTCTATGCTATAAAATGCAAGTCATGGTTCACTGAAATTTTTAAGCACTGCAAAACTGGTTATGAGGCAGATGAGAACGGTTAATATTTGGCATCACTGAAACTAAACAAAGCTGTGATTTGAGTCCGAAAAACGACTTTTAAAACTTTATATGAAAACCTAATAAACTTCATATCAATCATGTGGCTTCAAGGAATTGTATCTACTTTTATGATGATTTTATCATTACTTTCATTGAATGAAAAAGAGAACATCATGCAACTTTTTCCTTTTGTTTTCCACAAAAGATAACACATGTGATAGAAGGTTTATAACGGCATGAGGATGAGTAAATGATGAACTTTATGGTGTGTTGTGGCACTCAAAAAGTGTGTGTTTGTGGTGTCTTAGTCCCAGAGCACCTGGGATGCTGCGGTTGAATGTTTCTTGGCCTCCAGTACGGAGTTCCTCAGCAGTTCATCATTGACTTCCTTCAACCTCTTCTCCTCCAGGAAGGCCACCAGTGAATCCCTCATGTCCACCACATCCAGCATCTCCTGCAGGACCCGATTCTCATGTTCTCGCTGCTCAGGGGTTTTCTCAGAGTCTACATGCACAAGAACATCGAAACACGTTAATGCATGTGTGCACGTTCACATAAATACATTTTTTTAATTAATACTTTATTTAAATATCAATAACAATTTAAATTTGATATTAACATTAACTTGTTTAAAAACTATTTAATATTACATAATTTAAAACAAAAACAAATGTATTTTTGGCTTTTTGCTAAGTGTGTTAGAGCATGTGCAACAGCTAAACAACAACAATTTATAAATTTATATTATTATTAGTGTTGTCAAACGATTAATCGCATCCAAAATAAAAGTCTTTGTTTACATACTGTGTGTGTGTACTGTGTATATATATTTCGAAAATATTTACATGTATATATTTATGTTCATATAATTTATTAAATATATTTATATATGATATATATATATAAACGTAACATTTTTCTTAAATATATACATGCATGTGTGTGTATTTATATATATACATAATAAATATACACAGTACACACACATTATGTAAACAAACTTATTTTGGATGCGATTAATCACGATTAATCGTTTGACAGCACTAGTTATACATTTTTATTACTTAAATTATTATTTTAATATATCATTATTATTTTACGTTATTATTAACTATTTAAATAAAAAACTATTTTATATAATATCATTTAATATATAAGTTAATCAAATAATTTTTTTTTTATTTTGGAGTAAAGATTTTTTTCTTTTTGCTCATTGTGTCGAGCTAAACAACAACAACAATAATCAATTATTATTACTATTATTTCTATTCTTCTTCTTATTACTATTATTAATTATACAAGAAGCTTTCATGACCTCATATTACTTGCCAAATGGACTTTGTAAATCAATCTAAATTCATTTGTCTCCTCACAGGACTATTTAAATGACGTAACGGCATATTTAGATATTAATAATAATTTTATTCCAATTTCATATTCAAATTAAATTATTAAAATTAATTAGAAATATTTAATTTAAATTTAGTAATTTTATTTTAATTTGTGTTTTTATTATTATTAATAATAATAATTTTTAATAATATAAAATTAATAATTTTAATTAATATTAATAAAAAATATTTAATTTACATTTTAATTGAATGATTATATATGACAGTCAACACTGTATAGTACTATTTACAAACTGAAATATTAGCAAACTAATTTCTCTGTAAAACAGAATCGGTTTTCATTTCCCACCATCCATTTCCATGTATCTCCGTAGCTCCATGTTTACATACTGTACTGTGTATATATATTTCGAAAATATTTACATGTATATATTTATGTTCATATAATTTATTAAATATATTTATATATGATATATATATATATATAAACGTAACATTTTTCTTAAATATATACATGCATGTGTGTGTATTTATATATATACATAATAAATATACACAGTACACACACATTATGTAAACAAACTTATTTTGGATGCGATTAATCACGATTAATCGTTTGACAGCACTAGTTATACATTTTTATTACTTAAATTATTATTTTAATATATCATTATTATTTTACGTTATTATTAACTATTTAAATAAAAAACTATTTTATATAATATCATTTAATATATAAGTTAATCAAATAATTTTTTTTTTATTTTGGAGTAAAGATTTTTTTCTTTTTGCTCATTGTGTCGAGCTAAACAACAACAACAATAATCAATTATTATTACTATTATTTCTATTCTTCTTCTTATTACTATTATTAATTATACAAGAAGCTTTCATGACCTCATATTACTTGCCAAATGGACTTTGTAAATCAATCTAAATTCATTTGTCTCCTCACAGGACTATTTAAATGACGTAACGGCATATTTAGATATTAATAATAATTTTATTCCAATTTCATATTCAAATTAAATTATTAAAATTAATTAGAAATATTTAATTTAAATTTAGTAATTTTATTTTAATTTGTGTTTTTATTATTATTAATAATAATAATTTTTAATAATATAAAATTAATAATTTTAATTAATATTAATAAAAAATATTTAATTTACATTTTAATTGAATGATTATATATGACAGTCAACACTGTATAGTACTATTTACAAACTGAAATATTAGCAAACTAATTTCTCTGTAAAACAGAATCGGTTTTCATTTCCCACCATCCATTTCCATGTATCTCCGTAGCTCCATCTCTAACATGCTCTGTTTGTCTTCCAGCTCCAGCTGTCGAGACCTGTGAAACACAAAACCAGAATCACACAAATATATTCTGCTGCTGTTAGCACAGCCTGTAATTTAGTTTCTGCACAGAGGATCCAACTGTGCACAATATATGCTAAACGCATGCAAAGCGGTGGGTTAAATAAATGAGGCCACTCTACGCATTCATCTTAAGCATTAGTGCTCGTCAAAGACATGCAGGAGAGAGAGGTTGCCAGGGGCAACAAGACGACAAGCTGGCTTTCAGGGAGGCTTGAGGTTTTTCTTCAACACATGCAAAAATAAATGATGCACTTTGAGCAATAACTGCTATTGAGCTTTTTATTGTTAACTGTATTACTGCTGATATGACTGCTTGGTTAAGAAAGCAAGATGTTTAATCATTGAACTCAACTACTGGCCGTTTATGGGGGTCACAGTGTTCAGACTTACGCCACCATGAGATCGGACTCCTCTGAGAGCAGACTGTTCTTCTCCTGGACCAGATCAATCCACTGATCAATCGTTTCTGGGTCTGAACCTAAAACACACATACATCCACACGCAGTTATAACAAGATCTCTTTAATCTCAGTCGCCGCCACACTGACTTCTCTCAACCGACCTATAGTGCGTTCTGGGATGCTTATAAAACAGTACTGAAGGAGTTCCCATGCATGCAGGGCACAACGAAAGCTTTGAAATGGATTTAATTTAAAAGTAATTCATATGCAAAGAAAAAATAAATAAATAAAATACATTTAAGCATTCATTTGAAATATTAAGTCATTCATTCTTTTATCAGTGCGAATATCTGATAAACATAAAAAAAGGAAAAAAAAGATCCTTCAGAAATCATTCTCATACTGTATGCTGATTTGCTGCTCAAGAAACATTTCTGATTATTATTAATGTTGAAAGTAGCTGTGCTGCTTCATATTTTTGTGGAAACATTTGTAATACACTATTTTTAAGATTCTTTGATTAATCAAAAACAGTGCGATCAGTGTAGTTAGATTTTGAATGAATAACTCATGACTCAAACATATACAGTTTACAACTAACTGGGAGACTTTAATTAATTAGGTTACTAAGTGATTGTTTTTATTATAATCACTTAGTAACCTAATTAATTAACCTAAGTGATTGTTTTATTACATGTAAACTGTATGTGTTTGAGTAATCTGTATACGTTTCTAAAAAAAAAATTATTATTATTTTTTTTTTTTAGAGTCAAGTGTTGTCTTTCTTTTGCAGCAAGGAAGAGATTGGTAGCAGCTACATTTTTGTCAGTGTTGGATTGTGATATCATATACATGCAGGCACCCAAGCACTGTTTACAGGCATTGGATTCAGTTTATCATGGAGCATTAAGGTTCATCACAAATTCAAATGCCCTTACTCATCATATTTTATTGTACTCTATTACTTATAAATGAATGCAGTATTTCATGTTAAAATAGAGTCAATGCCTTTAAAATCCCATTTTTGAAGCCAGATTAGTGCCATCTGGTGGGAGTAAAATAAGAAAAACATCTGCAATTCCATGGTTTAGCCCATAGATTCCTATATAGCTCTATATAAAAGGCCTATAAATTCTCTAATTGTTTTTAGCCATAAATACTTATTTTTATAAAGTTGTGGGTTTGGATATATTATTTAGACATTCTCAAAGACAACTTTTTTTAAAGGTTTAGATTTTTTTTTGTTTGAAATGTTGATTTGAAGCATCAGTTTTTGAATTATTATTACTAGAGTCAAACCTGAACACAGAGAAAGCATTTTGTTACACAAAACATTAAAATTCTATAAAAATGTAACAGAAATGTTTTATCAGAGCTTAATCCTTCTGGGTTTGATCTGATTTCAACCTCTTATTTCAGTTTTCTGACTCGTTTTG